AGCAAAGGGCATCAGGATGGAATAAAGCGAAGAAGAAGGGAAGATGGATGTGTGACCAGCCCTTTTATGGGGTCTCCCAGGGTCACGCCCATCTACTTGGTCACATGTAGGAGGAGGATGCTCCAGACAGGTGTGACAGAAAGTCCTCCTGGCTGGAGTAACATCCCCCTGTGGGTCTACTCTGGACAAACAGGAAATGTTGTATTTGACTGCCTTCTGTGATGCTGCATCCCACGCAATTTAGGTTTTCTTTTTGTTTCCCTTACCACCACTCTGAGATTTTAAGGGCCTGCCTTAGTTCCACCTGTGTAATTTCTCCTGGGGACGTTTTGCTCGCAGCCTTGGGGAAATGGTGCCTGCTTCTATTTGGCATATCCGGAGGAGGAGATTTGGTGCTGGGCAGAGGGAAAGGAGTAGCTGCAGGTCTTGCACCTGCTCTTCTGGCTTCGTCCCTGTTCCGCTCCGCCCATCCCTCCAGCATTTCTCAGGAGGTTGCTTCTAATTAGCAGCCCAAAAAGGTTACCATGAATTGTTTGAAAGTCACCCCCCCCCCCCGGAGCAGAGCAGGACAGCAGGGGGAAATACTTTGTTGGCTGTTTTATTCCAGTTCCCTCTGCAGTCAGAATTGATGGTGAGGAAAAGGGATTTGCACACAAGCTGCTCCTGCGCCTGCCATGCTGAGGGAGCTAGAAAGCCGCAAGGGTGGGAGTCCAGACTGAAGGATCAGGAAGAAAGGGGTGGAGATCCGCTGCAGGGTTCAATCTGAGCCCAGGACAAAGAGCTGATCTTTACATGGACAGCAGTCACGTAGGACCCTGATATTTGGGACTTCACTGCTTGCAGATTAGCAGGCTGCATTTTTTTAAAAATGGCCCCCTTTGGGGAAGGTGGTGCAACTAGGGCAGGGGTGGGCAACCTAAGGCCCGGGGGCCGGATGCGGCCCAGTCGCCTTCTCAATCTGGCCCACGGACAGTCCAGGAATCAGCATGTTTTTACATGAGTAGAATGTGTCCTTTTATTTAAAATGCATCTCTGGGTTATTTGTGGGGAATAGGAATCCGTTCATTTCCCCCCCCCCTCCAAAAAATATATATAGTCTGGCCCACCACATGGTCTGAGGGATGGTGGACTGACCCACAGCTGAAAAAGGTTGCTGACACCTGAACTAGGGGGTTAACATTAAAGGGCAAAGAGCAGCAACCATTTAGTTATCTGTGTGTGTATGGGGGGGCACCATTTATTTTGTCTTTTTACCTTGGGCACTAAAATGTTTTGAGCTGTCTTGTGCTCTTGGTGGTTAAAGAAAACATAGACGGAGAGAGACAGCATCCCTGCATTTAGAAATGAGCAGCTGAGGGAGGAAGGCTGTAGCTCCAACTTTAACCATTACCTGCTAATTTTCTAAGTGTAAGGATTATTTTATTGTTAAAAAAATGAGAGGGAATCTAAACATGCAATTCCCCACCTACAATCATGGTAGTAAAGTTCCAAGAAATAGTGCACAGTTGTTCTAAAGAGAGGAAAATCTGCTCCAAACCTATTTATGATGCCTGGGCTTAGACCAGGAATATGTTAGGGAAGATCACATAGCTATCTATCTAGATCAAAGGCCAATTAAAAAAACAAAACCTCATATTTCAAAAATGCCCATCCTATGAAGTGTCCCTTAGGAACAACTTTTAAAAATGCAATCTGAATATGATACAGTCCAAACATTTTCAGTAATAATATCTTAAAATAAAATCCATGCATTTTTATCTAAGATATCTAGATAAAAGACCGTTTTTCCATTTAAAAGAAGTAGTGTGACTTTTTAAGGTTAACTGTACATCAATATTTTGTATGTTTGTTGCACTGGTTAATATTTAGACCAAGATGGGGGAACCTGTGACAGCCCCCCCATCTCCTACCCCCCTCAGCCGACATGCCAAATGGTCTGAAATGGTGGGAGGTGCATCCAGCAGCGTCTAGAAAGTCACAGGTTTCTCACCCCTGATTTAGCCCCCAAGGTGTTTACTTTCTGGGCCATGGGAAATCCGGCTCTGGCTGCTCCTGGGTTCGAGTGAGGCTTTCTGGAGTAACAAACCAGACATCTTAATTCTTGCAGCAAGAAGAAGAAGAGTTTGGATTTGATATCCCGCCTTTCACTCCCTTTAAGGAGTCTCAAAGCGGCTAACATTCTCCTTTCCCTTCCTCCCCCACAACAAACACTCTGTGAGATGAGTGGGGCTGAGAGACTTCAGAGAAGTGTGACTGGCCCAAGGTCACCCAGCAGCTGCAGGTGGAGGAGCGGGGAAGTGAACCCGGTTCCCCAGATTAGGAGTCTACCGCTCTTAACCACTACACCACTCTGGCTTAATTTTAAGTCAGTCCACCTGGAAACATGTGGAGGCAGTAGGGAGAGAGGGAGACTTGTGCCTTTCCTCAGAGACAGCCAGGCTCCGGCACTCCTGAGACCAAGAGGCAGCCTTCCTGATCAGAGAACCTCTCCTTCCAGGCATATGCTGAGTTCTTGCAAGCTGCCTGATGGTTTAAGCCGACCTCCCCTTCTTTCTTCTCCCCACATTTGCTTGTTGCTCCCTGGGTAGGCCAGTCTTTCCTTCAGCAGCCAGAGATCTGTGTGTGATGTGATATATGCATCCTGACAAGCAGCTGTCAGTGAATTTCAGCATGGAAGCATAATGGAACAGAAACCTCCGCTCGGAAGGACACTCTCTGCTCCTTGTACATTGCCAGCCGACCTTTTCCCTGCGCCCGGTTGCAGTGGCAAGGCCATTCCAGACGTCACTCAGGGTGGGGAGGAACGAAGCATAATTTATGCCATGCGCTGCACTTCCCAAAGGATAGTGCTGTGTGCTGAGCTCCGAAGGAGCAAATTGGTGGCCTCTTTCCCCTCACCTTGACTTTGATCATCTGGATTTCGAGGGCAGCCTGAGATGGGTCAGCTGAAAACTCCTGAGCCCGCATTCCCCTTTTGCCAGAGGGAGGGTGGAGCGAATGCTGCATGCTGGGGGGAAGCATTTGCTACTTTTCGGGTGGAGGGGGACATCCAGTGTGAGTTGAGTGTTTTCTAAAACTTGGGGGAAATTTTGTGCTTTGTTTGTTCCCATCAGGTGTTGCTGGTAAAACTTGCCCTGTTGGGAGGACTGTCCTATCAAACAAATACAAGGATTCTTTGGTTGTGATTTCTGCATTGCAAGGGGTTGGACTCTGGGGTCCCTTCCAAGTAGACAGTTTTAGGATTCTGTCATCTGCTGGGAAAAGAGCCCACATTTGTGCCACTTCAGCTTTTATTGATGCTTCTGGGTTTTTTTGGGTTGGGGGGGGGACTTGGTGTTCCTACCCACCCAGAAGGAAGTGATAGAAAACCACTTTTGGAAAACTTCCATAGTTGACTTTCTGCCGTGTCCCTGGATCGGCCTGCTGAGTCCTCCATGATGCACACATTTAAATTGTAATGCTCAGACCATTCTGGAAGTCACTCAGGGCTAGGACAGAAGGCAGTGGGGTGGGGGTGGGGTGATTAAGCATAAGTAATTTAAATAATGTTGCCAAGACTGTCCAGATTCTGCACCAAGAAAAACAATAATAAAACTGGATTCAGCAAACTGTGTGCATTATGCAAATTAGGCAACTATGCACAATATGTCTTATTTGGTGTAATTTATTTTCCTCTCTGCCATTCTGCATACATTATTCTGGCTTTGTTAGTCATGGGTAGGGCCCCAAAAATTCCCTAGAAATATCATTCAGCAACTTTTGTTGTTTCTGGCAGTATCTCCCTCGTCCTTTCAAGCACATCTCCACCACCATAAGGCCTATGTCCTTCGTTTGCCTTGAATTCGGCTGCCTGGTCCTGCACTCTGAGCTATTCTGTTTAGCAGTCTTCTTATTGACTCAGTTTGCAAGGTCCTCTGAAGTGGGAGAATCACACAACTTAGTCTGCATTCACACAGCAGTTTATTCCACAATATTTCCCTCTTAATTTCTGCATTATATTTGAACTTTCATGCAACTTAAAAGCCACTTCCATAAATTTAGCAAAATATAGTGCAAGTTTAGTGCTCATTTCAGTGTTATTTCCAAAAGATTTTTTTACTGGAAACAAATTACATGGGAATGAGTGCTAAACTTGCACTATATTATGCTATATTTCTGAAAGTAGCTTTTACATTGTTTGGAAGCTCAAATATCACGTGAAAGGTAATAGCTAGGGAAACATGAAAGTGGAAATAAACTGTTGTGTGGATGCAATCTGCATTTTTCCTAGGCTGTCTGTGATGTCTGTTATTACTGACTAGTGAGGTTCTAGGGGTCTTAGTAGACCACAAGCTGAACATGAGGCAACAGTGTGATGCAGCAGCAAAAAAAGCTAATGCTATTCTAGCCTGCATCAACAAAAGTCTAGTGTCCTGATCAAGGGAAGTAATAGTCCCACTCTCTTCTGCCTTGGTCAAAGCACACCTGGAATACGTTGTCCAATTCTGGATGCCACAATTTAAGAAGGATGTTGACAAGCTGGAGCGTGTGCAGAGGAGGGCAACCAGAATGATCAAGGGTCTGGAAACCAAGCCTTAGGAGGAATGGTTGTGGGAGCTGGGTATGTTTAGCCTGGAAAGACTGAGGGGAGATGTCTCCCCTCAGTCTTTCCAGGGAGGGTTGTCCCTTCTAAAGGGTTGTCCCATGGAAGATGTAGCAAGCTTGTTTTCTCCTTCTCTGGAGGGCAGGACCAGAACCAATGACTTCAAGTTACAAGAAAGGAGATTCAGAATCAACATCAGGAAAAACTTTCTGAGGGTAGGAGCCGTTCAACAGTGGAATGGGCTTCCTTGGGGCGTGGCGGACTCTCCTTCCTTGGAGGTTGGATTGCCATCTGTCAGGGATGCTTTAGATGAGATTCCCGCATTGCAGGGGGTTGGACTAGATAATTCCATGATGCTATGACTCTCTCCTCCTGGTTTGCTGACTGACGCTCTTCCGTCTTTTTGGGTCCCCCGCAGCGCACTCTGGATTGACGCCACTGGAGCCTTTTCCCTGCCACCAGTCATGTTGGCCTGCCTGCAGAGGACACAGAACCCGCCCAGCCAGCACCTCACCTGCCCAAACAAGGCCCTGGAGCCACGCAAGTGTGAGTAGACCCCCTCGCTGGTTCTTCTGCGGACTCGACTCACAACTGCCTTCACACAAACCAAAGCTGGTGTTAGTCGTAACGATTCCCATTGCGGGACACTTTCCAAGATGTGCCTCTGTGGCCACATCTGCACCATGTGGGTTAAATCGCTATGGAACCATTTCCAACAGCTGCAGCTTCCCCCCAAGAGTTTTGGAGCTGCGGCTTGTTGGGGTGCCAAGAGTTGTTGGGAATGCGCACCCCCCACACACACACACACTTAACAGAGAGTGATTGTGAAGCCACTCTGGGAATTGTAGTTCTGGGAGGGAAATTGCTGGGACAGTTATCCCCTAACAACTCCCAGCACCCTTAACAAACTACACCTTCCAGAATTCTTTGGGGGAAGCTTAAAGTGGCGTTGTAATGTTTCAGATGTATGGTTTGAAGGGAGCTCAGCCCATGTGGCCAAGGAAGCCCATGTGGCCAAGGGGGAGATCTAGGTCCCTAGAGCGGAGGAGAGAGTGGAAAGTGGGTGGGTGCTCAGGGGTAGCCTGCAGTCTGGGGGTCATGGCAGTCGGCCTAGTTTCCTCCCCCAGCAAAAGTGCAGCCATTGGTGGCATGGGAGCGGCGCTCTCTCCACCCCACGAGGGTTCTGGGCTGTTGCTATTTTGGCTCAGCATCCCTTTGCTGGTTGGTGGGGGCTGGGAGCAGGGAGCCGTTTGACTGGAGTGGGTGGGGTGGGGGTCGCGCTCTTCCGAGTCATGTCACATGGAGAAACACTGCCCCCTGAATGAGCTTGACCAGGGTTTGGCGTGGAGAAGGATCCCTGGGCTGAGAGCAAATGCGAGGGTGGCAGTCGGAAGGCGAGAGAGAGAGAGAGAGAGCCTGTGCTTTCTCTGAGCAGGGAGAACGGCTGGCCCTTCCTGCTTCCCCTTGATGCTCTCTGGCCATATTGAAAAGTATATTTATTTAGCAAATAAGAAGAAGAGGAAGGGCAGGTGGGAAGTGGAGAGGGGAGCTGGGCTTGGATGGGTGGAGGAAGCCCGGATAAGGGACACTTTACAAGTGGGTTCCCGTGGCTGGGCAGTGCCCCGTGGCTGGGGTGGGGAGACCCTTTGCTGCCGTGCTGAGACTTGGGTGCTCGCCAGCCAGGGCCCCATGCAGCCAACGCCCCGAAGGAATTGCTTCCTGCCTCCCCTTCCTTTTTATTTCCTTCTTAGGCCCCTGTAATTATTTCTCTGGGTTTTGCTGTGACTCTGCGGCTCCTGATGAGTTGGCCTTTCAGATAAGCCGTAAACTAGTTACATTAAAATAGGTTCCGAAAGGTCACTCATCAAAGCACCTGTTCCTTGCGGTCTTTGTCTCTCCATCCAAAGCTGTGATTAAATGTCTATTTAATGAGCCCGGCTGAGGCAGGCTGCAGTGACCTCTCTGGCTGCAAAGGCGCATTAAGAGTCTCAAGTGATGAATGTGTGTTTTTAAACCGGAGGGCTGGGTGTTGGGGGCCCCCCCTCCCCCGTCTTGCATCAGGAGCCCTCTCTCCTCTTCTCCCTTCAAGTGTTTGCCGTGTTCCAGGCCTGGAGATGAACATTTCTGCTGCTTTGATCCCTGAGACCTAGCATGGGTTTCTCAAAAACAAATCATGCCAGACAAATCTCATTTCTTTTTTTGACAGAGTTACAGCCTTGGTGGATCAGGGGAATGATGTGACGTCATGTATCTTGATTTCACTAAGGCTTTTGACAAAGTCCCCCAGGATATTCTTGCAGAGAAGCTGATCAAATGGTGGCCTGCATAGCATTTGAGGGACTGGACTTGCAGTCCTTCCTCCCGTCCTCTGATGAACGGTTCTTGGGGTAATCGGAAAAGATGGCTCTTCTTAGAACCAGGCACGATTTAGAAGCGACTCTGATTACTTAATTTGCTCCTGAGTATCTCGGCAATTATCTTTATGGGCCTTATTTCTTGTCCTCTGGCGTCGTTTCCGCCGATATTAAATGAGCCCACCTCGCAGCATGGCAGCGGCTGGCCTGCCACCACCACAGAATCCTATTATCCTGCCGGTGCTGCTGAATAATTTTTGTATTAATTTCACATCAAAGGTGAGCCTGTTAATGTTGGCCTCCTGCCTGTGCTGGAAGGCACAGGGGATGTTGGCATTTCTGAGGCTCTTCCTCTGCCTTTCTCCTCCTGCTGTGGACACACTGGCTGGCTGGCTGGCTGCCCTGGGGGGCTGTTGACAACCACCCCTCTCTCTCTTCCCAGTTTTCCTTCTCTTCGCTGCCTTCTCCCGTTTCTCCTGGGCTTCCTTCGTCTCGCGTAGTGGTGCGTTTGCAGCAGGAACGGTGAGCTTGTTGCCCTCCATAAGTTATCGTTATTGTTTATTAAATTTGTATAGCATCCTTCACCTGTAGATCTCTTCAGAGGGTCTCCTGTCTGTGCCCCACATGTGCCCCAATGCAACCAGTGCTATGCCCCTGGTGGGTCTGGAAGCTTGGCAGTGAGGTCCTGCTCACTGTTGTGGCTTCTGTGGTTCCCTGCCACGGGGCGAGGGGGCAGCCTCAAGGAGGTAGTGAGGGCCAAGGAGCCAGGGCTGGTTGTGAGCCTCAGTTGTCCATTTGAGACTTGTGGGTATAGAGCAATATAAAAATTCTAATAACAACAACGATGATGTGGTGGTGGTAGTGAAGATGTTTCACTCAGAGCCAATTCTCCAGCTGCAGACTCCTGGTTTCTTTTTAAAGAGGTAACTGACCTTGCACCCGTCTCTCCACTCCTGCCCATGGATGCATCCTCCACGGAGCTGGATCCTCCTCTCTCTGCTCCCACCTGCAGGAGGACAAGCCTTGGGGCCGCCTTTCTTCTTCTGCTAGGCACCCCTCGAGTGCTGTGCCGCTAAAGATCGGGGCAGAAATCAGCCTGCCCTCTCCGTCTCTGGGGGGAAAGCGCTTCTCTCACTCTGCTGATTAATTTAGTAATGGATTTCTCCCTTCCCCTTTAATATATGATTTTATATATTTTTCATACCAGGCAGCATTAGTGTGCAAAGCAGTGAAGTTTTAGCAGCAATCAATATCCCTGAGCTATGGAGCATGTGGAGCATTATTTCCAACTCTGATTTGGGGACTAGCTGGTTCTGCAAAAGGAGGTTTTTATATATCTCCCTTTAAAAGGAGTAAAGGAAAACCAATAGTGGGTGAGTCCAATGGTCGAGAAAGCAGTTTCTGCCCATGCCATAGAGGGAAGTGAGGGGCAGATGGGGCTCATCCGCCTGGGAAAGGAGCCCATCTAGGAGAAGGAAAACTCTTAAACCTTCACCGCCTGGCAGGATATCTTCAGGAGAAGGCAGGCTCAGGAGGAAGCCCTCCACAAATCCAGGGTGGAGACTCTAAGGCAGAGGGTGCCTGGTTTGCCTCCTTCTGGCAACTCGTGTGGCCAAGCTGGTGCCAAACGTCTGGCTCAGCTTTCTTTTGGACCACAACAGCGTGGCTGAGAGCGGGTCTTGTGTTTGGGCTGCCCAGGACCTCTGTACACACTGCCTAGGCTTGTGCCCGGGGGAGGGGGGTTCATTTCAGTGCTGCTGACACAGTGGCTTGACTTCACCCCCAGACGTGCACTCCATTGTCTCTCAAGACAGACGGATGCCAACAAGTTATATCCCACCTTTTTCTCTAAGGAGCTCAAGGCAGCGTATGTGGTTCTCTGCCTCCTCCTTTAATCTCCACAACAACCCTGTGAGGTGAGTTAGGCAGAGAGGCAGGGACTGGCTCAAGGTCACCCAGTGAACTCCGTGGCGGAGTGGGGATTTGAACCCTGGTCCTAGTCCGACACTCTGACTTCTGTACCACTTTGGCTGCCAGCTGCCCAGCCTTGTTTGACGCAGCCTGGATTTATAGCCTGTGAATGTTTTCTTGGAACAGAGCAACTCGGCCCAGCCTTCCTTGCCACTGTCTGTCAGCAAAGCAAGGTGGACCACAAAAGGGGTCGTGACCAGACTCAATCTGTGCCCTCTCTTTAGCTGTGTCAGGTGATGGTCTTTTTATCTTCAATTTCTCTCCCCCCACTTCTGTGTTTATAGGAGCATGGGGCTTTACTTTAAATTATAAATCAAACACCCCCTCCTCTGCTCAGCTGCCCTCTCACTCCTCTGCTGTCTCCCTGCAGCTGCAGAGCCCTGGCTCATATTTTAATTAAATGTCACTTTCCGCATGCCTCTGCCCTGTGCCTGTATCTGCTCCTGGAACCCCGGCTGCTGTTTCTACTTACAAAAGCAGGAAGTCTGTGCTGCCGCTGTAACGGCTGGAGATCAATATTCTTCTCCTGAGCTGGCTGGTGTCTTCTTCCACGAGCAATTAAAAAATACCTCTTGGAGGGGTCTCAGTGGAGCCGATCAGTGGGGCATCTTGAGTCTGGGACATGCATCTCCTGTCCCAGGTCCTGGTGCCTCTCCTTGAGCTGGCGGTCTCTGCCTTCCACTGCTCACAAAGCGTCAGGCACCCCGGCCGGCACCACTCTTGGACGAGGCTCCCCTGCTCCCTTCTTTGGCAGGGCTCAACTTTCCTTTTTCTTGGAACGAAACTGTGGAACAAAGTTGGTGGCCCTTGTTGCCCTTCTGGCCAAAGTTGCCCCCTCCAGCACACCCTCTTTAGGGGTTATTAGTTTCAGAGATGGCCTGCTCCAGAGCCGGGGGAGGCTGGCAGGGTCGGCCCCCAGCAGTTGTGCTGGGCTTTGCAGCAAATGGCAGGAGCCCAGGAAGCTTTCTTGTCCTGTTGGTCCATCTAGCTCAGTATGGCCTACACTGAGTCTTGGAAGCTCTTCTGAGCTGCAGCCGGGAGACCTTCCTAGCCCTACCTGGAGATGCCAGCTTTTAAACCTGGGAGCTTCTGCATGCAAAGGAGAGGTCCAGGCACTCAGACCCAGCCTGTGGGTCTGAGTTAGGGCTCATGAGAGGTGGAGGGAAGAGGGGGTTTAGGCCATCGGACTTTTAAAAATGGGCATGCGCTTGCGGAGGTGGC